CACCCCCCCCCTCCATCCCCACCGAAGCATGTCTTAGGCAGCGGAGATCTGACTCAGGCAGCCAGGTTTAGGCAGCCAGCACTTCAGCCCGTTTTATCACTTTAATGCAGAAATTACCCCTCACACCAGGTCTTGTATTTAAATTTACTCTGTGTCCACACCCAGGCCAATGCAGGACAGCATGTCGGGGGAGGTTCTATATTAGTTTCTTCCTTTGTTGTTGTTATAAATTACTGTCCAAGAAGCAACTTTAAATGGGGGAGGGGTGGGGTGGGGTGAGGGTGGATTTAGCTCACAGCTTGAGGAAAGACTGACCATCAAGGCAAGGAGGTCATGGTCACACAAGCTTAAGGCTTGGACACACTGCATCCACAGTCTGAAAACAGTGGTGAATGTGTGTGTGTGTGTGTGTGTGTGTGTGTGTGTGTGTATGTGTGTGTCGGGGGTGGGGGGGAATAGTGCCCAAAGCAGCTTGACCACACAGCTGCCATGACAGGCTTAGTGGCCCAGACACAGCTTCTGGCAGGTAACACCTGGACCCAGGAAAAGCCATAAGCTGACCCCACCCAGGGAGTCCTGCATCTAAGAGGAAATACCCAACATTCCAAACATTCTCTATACCCTAGACAAATGTCAGCCAGTCAGGGTCCTGAACCCTGGGAATCCCCTCACCCCAACCTCTGCTATGATAAAAACCCCACCCTGCTTGGGTCTGGGCTCTCTGCTCTCACCACCGCCTGGGACTGAGAGTCCAAGCTCTGAGCTTGAAAATAAAGGCTCTTTGCTTTCACATACGGACTTCATCTCCGTGGTGGTCTTTTGGGAGCCCCAGTGATCTGGGCATAGCAAATGTGGGTGCTCAGCCAGCTTTCTCCTTTGCAAATGGGACCACAGCCCACAGGATGGCACCACTCACACTCGGGAGGTCTTCCTGCCTCAATACAGCTCATCTAGATTGTCCTCACAGACACAGGCTTCTGACTCTGTCCTGTCAGTCTGACAACGTTAACCACCCTGCCTTTTTTCAGAGTGTGAAATGGGCTGAAGGGGCAGCCCTTCCTGTGTCCACACCCTTGGTCTGCAGTTAGCTCGCCTGGCTGCTCCACGGTTAAGGACGGACTCTCTGTCATATCCATGGTCATTTCAGTTCTTGGAGAAGGAACTGGAAAGCCAATTAAACATCATGTATACATTTTATTTTTCTAAATCTCATTTTTCTTGGGGACCCTTTTTGGGGTCATATCATTGTTAAGTTTCAAACAGGGGACAAATGGCTGGGGTGCCTATTTAGCATATCAAAGCAGACCTGGCCTCCAGGTTCTCCCAGCATCCCTCACTCTCTACCAGTTACCTGGTATGGCTGGCATACTGGTCCCCTACCCAGAACTCTCCAGTCCAGGGGCTGGACTGCCCTTCCCTATATAATCCAGGCGTTTTGGATACCTGACCCTGTTTCGGACCTTCGGCCTCCTGGCTGCGGCACCTGGTTCCCCTCTCTCCCCTCCCCTGATGGCCCAGCCCAGTCTGGTCATGTCCACTCAGCACCCCAGCCGTCCTTGCCTCTGCCTATGCTCTCCCACATGTCTACAGTAAACTCTCCTCCACCATATCTACGAGAGCCATGTCCTTTCCTTTCTGTTTCTTTTTCCATTCAATCATCAGGTGTTCCCTAAGCCATTCATAAGGGTGGTCCCTTTGTTGATTCTTGGTTGGTTTAGGTTGGATTATATAAATCCTAATATTTAATTAATAAAATATTTATGCTACATAATATAATATTATAACTTATATACTATACATATATTATACACAATAACTTGTGATATGCAATATTGTATACAATATGTTATAATTATATTTAATTAAAAAAATAAAAATCTTATTAATTTTGCTAAAAATAACTAAGAAATATTACTAAAAAAAAAATCCATATGACTTAGTTCTGACAATGACTGCTTGTGTCCCAGAATCACTATAAATGTGTTTTAACATTACACACATTACAAAGTCATGCTGATCCGTCTAAAGGGTGGACTCCCTTGTGGGCTGGTGCACCCTGGGCTCCCTAGTCTCCACTGTGCTTCTCATCCAGGATGGAAAGCTCAGATTCTGGAGGAGAATAAACCAATCCAAGAGGATGAGGCCACCAAGCGCCAATCAATGTGGATTCTTTCTCCATGTTGTCCGGTTCTGTACCGCAGGGCTCTCAGCCTGTGCTCTGTGCCAGAACTACAGCTTCCATTCACTCCAGGAGTCCAAGCTTGTGCTCCAGGAACAGAGAGGGTGGCAGACGGCATTGAGTACGTGCAGATGTGTGAGTGAGGTGGATGGAGACAGTGGGCCAGCCTGAAGCGGGGAGGAAGTCTAGACAGCTCGGTCCCCGGCTAGACACAGCTCGGGCCCCAGCTAGACAGCTCGGTCCCCGGCTAGACAGCTCCGTCCCCGGCTAGACAGCTCCGTCCCGGCTACCCAGGAGTTTGACCAGGCTTCTGAGGACAGGCAGGCCCCGGAGCAGACCTACTTCCACAGCCAGCGCGGGACCCCAGGGAGGGAAGGTAGGTCAGGGCCATCTGTATTCACAACGGGGCTGAAACAGTTCTTTCCCTGAAGGTGATGACGCAGCGATGGAAGCGGAGCAGACACGGCCATTATTTTAGGACTTTCTCAAATTGTTCTTAGATCTGGGAATTGGTTTCTAAGCAGAGTGCTGATGTTGATATATATGATACACACACACACATTATACATATAGAGTTAGTGTTTGAAATTAAAATGTAATTACATAATTTCTCCTCTTTTTGACCTTCAACCCCACACATGTGCACTGTATCCTTGCTGTCTCTAACTGAAGTTACATAAATATTCCTTAATATATAAACACAGCCTGCCCAGTCTATATAACCTTGCTTGTGTGCATATGATTTTCAGGGTTGACATAGCTGTATATGTCTTAGATTTGTCTGACTCACAGTTCTCCATGTGACAGCAGGTTGTAAAATTCATTTTGAATTAGCCACAGAAAGGGGCCCCAGGTTTTGGAGAAATTCTGAACAATAGATTCTTTTCAAAGCCGGGCAGTGTTTCTTACATTATCTTTCTGATTCACATAAAGATACTGTTTAGTCTTCCTGTCATGCCCTCCCCCACCATCCCTAACCCCACAGGATGGAAACTGCAAACCTTCCCTTTTACTGTGCCCTGTCTGCCAGGACCTCCCCTCCAGACACTGCGGGCACCGTCGGGTCCCAGCTTTCTGTTCTGGTGGAAATGGCAGAATGGGAAAATGGGAGAGTAGAAGGTAATAATCTTGTTGTTGTTTTTCTTCTCCCTATAACAAAATATTACAGACAAGGTAATCATAAAGAAGAATATTTTATCTCTTACAAGGCTGGGGTGTTCCGGAGTGAGAGGTTCTCATCTGGCTAAGGCCTTCATGTCACATCACGCTAAGTGAGAAGGTAGAAGGCCAAGGAGCTTCCTCTGCATCTGCCCACAGCCTTGCCTGCTGTCTCTGCCTCTCTTCGGCTTTGTTTTGAGGCAGGGCCTTGCTCTCCAGTTGGCCTGGTACTTCCTGTGTAGCCCAGGCCGACCTTGAACTGGTGGCCGTTCCTGAGTGCTGAGAGTCTAGATGCACACTGCCATGCCTCCTGGCCATTGTCTCCTTATTAAAGTCTCTTTAGAGCTTCTGCCTGTTCCCTGCCGGGACCCGACCCAGTGCCTTCCTAAGCCACAGGTTCCAGGGTGCGGTTCAGTTCTCTTCTCCAGTGTCCACTGCCATGCATATGAACCCCCCTCCCCTGACTCTGTTTCCCCTAGTCCCTGCCTGTCCTCTCCGAGCTGTTTCCGCTCCTTTTGTTTTTAACTTACATGTAGTGCTCACACTGAGCACGGCTACACACAGCAGGTGCTCATCTGGCTGTTGATTTGAAAGTTGAATATTTGCTGACTGTCTCCCTGTGTGAGGACCGGAGTGCTACTCTCTGCATCCTGTATTTGAGAGTGTGACCCCCCAGAAGGCACCCAGCTGGGGCTGAAGTCAAGTCTCCTGCCCGAGCTCCTCCTTCCTCAGGCCCTGTCCGGGTAGCACTTCTTGTTTTGTTGAACTTGACTTGAACTCAGCAGAAGGTTGGTGTGTTCTAAAAACAGCTAACATGACTTCAGGGGTTTGAACTGTAGTAGTGTGCTTTTTGCTAACTCATTCATCAGAGACACTTGCCTGCCTCTGACTTTGTGCCTCTGTAATTCACTGCGATTCTAAAAATTACCCCTGGCTCCCTAAAGGGCTCAATTTTAGACTCACGGTGTCTTGACAATACACGACTCATTTAAATCTAGAGCAGCAGGACTTTTTTCTTTTTATATCAGAAATTGGAAGTAGGAATCACTGTATTTTATTCCCTACAAAAAGATGTCGATAAAGCTTTATCAAGTGCAGAACCAGAGACAGCCAGAACTGTGGCTGCTGTCCTGAAAATGTCATTGTTGGTCAATCAGCTCCTTTAAGAGCAGAGAAGAGGAAGGAGCCACAGTGTGGGCATCATATAGATCCAGTTTCAAAAGCCAGCTGGGTGACCTTGGCACTGGGCCTAACGCCCCAGCCTGAGCTTCCTCAGCTGTGATGTGGACACGAGAGAGATGCGTACACGAGGCAGAGTGCTCTCAGCAATGCCGTGATTCAGCTGCTAAACCTAGCCTGACACCTTAGCAGAGACCACAATGTCAGTTTGGAGAAAACCTGAATCACTGTTGCCAACAGAGTGGGAGCAGAGTGCTGGGTGAGAAAGATCCTGGAATAAAACCGTGAGGCAGCTGGGCGTTGGTGGCACACGCCTTTAATCCCAGCACTAGGGAGGCAGAGTGGATCTTTGTGAGTTCAAGGCCAGCCTGGGCTACAAGTGAGTTCCAGGAAAGGCGCAAAGCTACACAGAGAAACCCTGTCTCGAAGAAAAAAAAAAAAAAACAAAAAAAAACAAAAGCAAATCAAAACAAACAAACAAAACCAAAAAAACAAACAACAACAACAACAACAACAAAACCAACAACAACAAAACCATGAGGCAGAGATACCCAGAGCCAGGTTATCTTGGGACACTACTTGGGTTGAGACACCCACAGCCCTTTCCTTACCCAGGACCCTCACCCTCATGGAGCTGCACACACACCCCTTTCCCAAGAAAGCAATCAGGTCACTTTGACCTAGCTGCTCTTAGTTAATTCTTTTTCTGTGACCAAACAGCTTCTCAAAACTATCCAGGGACCAGTGGCAGAGTGCTGATCAAGCCTGGGCTGATTTGGTACACTTTCAGTAGGTCACACTGTGTCCTCTAAGCGAACTTTTAGGGGAAATCCCTACTTACATCTCATGACTATGCATGACTGGGCACGCATAGGATTAAAGCCAGATGCGTTGGGGTAAGGACGTGCCCAGCGAACAGAGGCTGACTTAACAGAAGCCTGTCAGTTAAAACAAAAGACCACCCATATCTCACCCTTAGCAGCAAGTCCTGGACCATCCAAAGAGGCCCCAGGCCATTACCAGGCATTTCGGAATACTTTGTCTCAGACAGTCCCTGCTCCACTGCCAAGTATGGACTCTGTCCTTATTACACCTAACCTTGAATGAAATCCCTCCATACCTGTGGTGTTTTTGAACAAGATCCTGGAAACGCCACTCTCCAGACAGAGACCTTTGGCAGCGCACTGGGGTACAATGCAGAGGACCATGAGTCAGGTGGGAGCCATCCTCGGCCTTGGGTGGAGAAGGAGCCAGGTGACCCTTGGTTCTTGAAGAGCAGTGTTGCTTCTGTTTGTCACTACAGAACCTTCCTGAAGGCAGACTTGGGTCTTTGAGGAAGCTGCTCAGATCCACGCACTGAAAGGCCTCCTGTGAAGGCTGAGGTCACCATCTTTGGCTGAGTTTCTCTGTGAGAAGGCTGAAGCAAAAGTGCCTGATCCCCTCAGTGGTGAGTGACACCCAGAGTCTGGCGGAGGGTCAGAAATGGTTGGCATTTTCCTAGAGGGGAGGGGCAAGGTGGTTGGTTTTTTTTTTTTTTTTTTTTTTCTGTTTAGAGTAGTTGGACTGACAAGTGTTGTAGCTGGGAAAATTATGGCCAGTTAACATTTATATAGAGAAAGCATTACACACAGTGCATCCCACATAGTAGGTTGTCAAGAAATGGCAGGAAGGAATGCAGAGGTGCCTCAGTGGTTAAAGCACTTACCACACAAGCCATAGGACCAGAGTTTACATCCCCAGAGTGTGTATATATGCCAGGTGGGTGTGGTGACCTGCCTGTGATTCTAGCACTTGGAAGACTAGTTCTATGGGAACCTTAGAGCAAGCTGGCTAGCCAGCCTCTCTGAGCTTGTGAGCTGTGGGTTAGGAGAGACCCTGCCTCAGTGAGTAAGGCACAGAGTCATGGAAGGAGATTCTTTGTCACTTTTCTGTTGCTCGATAAGACACCATGACCAAGGTATCTGGCCCTGCCTCAGTGAGTAAGTCAGAAAGCTATGGAAGGAGATTCTTTGTTACTTTTCTACTGCTGTGATAAGACACCATGACCAAGGAAACTTAGAGAAGAAAAAGATTCCTGGGGCCAACCAGTTTCAGAGGGTAACTTCATGGCCATCATGGTGGGGAGCAGCAGGCAGGCATGGCTGTAGAGCAGCATCTGAGACATTATATTTTGAGACATATCTATGAGGCAAAGAGGCAGAGAGGCAGAGAGGTAATTGAGAATGGCATGGGCTTTTGAAATCTCAAGGGTGGTTGGTGGTGGCGCACACCTTTAATCCCCCCAGCACTTGGCAGGCAGAGGCAGGTGGATCTCTGTGAGTTTGAGGCCAGCCTGGGCTACAGAGTGAGTTCCAGGAAAGGTGCAAAGCTACACAGAGAAACCCTGTCTCGAAAAAACAAAAACAAACAAACAAACAAATCTCAAAGCCCCCCACACCCCAGGGACAGACTCCTTCTAACAAGGCCACACCTCCTGATCCTTCCCAAACAGTTCTACCAACTGGAACCAAAACACTCAGACATGTCTCATAGCATATGTGTGGACATCAGAAGACAACTTTCAGGAAGTGGTTTCCCCTTCCACCTTCTCATGGGTTCCAGGGGTCAAACTCAGGCCATCAGGCTTGTGTGGCAAGGACATAACCTGCTGAGCCATCTTGCTGGCTCCTAGACAGGGTCTTGCTATATCAACATGGTGGGCCTGGAACTTGGAGTGATTCTCCTGCCTCTGCCACTTGCATACTAGGATTACAGGCATGTTCCAACATGCTCACTTGATATGTAAACCATATACAGTGACACACTATAGGTAAAACATTATTATTGTTATTATTAATTGAAAATAAATAATATTTCATACAATATATTTTCATACAATGTAATTTCATACAATATATTCTGATCAATATATTCCTTTTGTGATGGTTTGAAAGAAAATGGCCCTCATAGGGAGTGGCACTATTAGGAGGTGTGGCCTTGTTGGAGGAAGTGTGTCACTGTGGGGTGGGCTTTGAGGTCTCTTTTTCTCAAGCTTCCCTCAGTGTGTCAGTCAGTTGATGCAAGATGTAGCACTCTCAGCTCCAGCACCACGCCTCCCTGCAGGCCGCCATGATCATAATGGACTGAAACTGTAGGCCTCCTCAATTAACATTTTCCTTGTAAGAGTTGCTGTGGTCATGGTCTTCACAGCAAAAGAAACCCTAACTAAGACACTCTTCCTTCTTTCCTCCCAAGTTCTCCCAACTCTCCACTCTTACAACTCCACCTTCTTTCTCTCTCTCAAACAAACAGACAATAAAGAAGACAAACAAGAAAAAACAAAATGCACAAAATAAACAAAAAATCCAAGAAAGAGCACAAGAAATGCACACACACACACACACACACACACACACACACACACACACACACACACACACACACAACAGAATCAGAAACCGGAAAGACTGATAAGGCAAAAATGTCCAAACAAAGCATTATGAGACAAAAAAAAAAAAAAAAAATCTTAAAAAGTACCATTGAGTTCATTTTGTGTTGTCTTTCTTGGCCATCTCCTGCTGGGCCTGGGGCCTGCCCCAGGTGTGGTTTGTATACCCAGTGAGACTCCCTCGGAGATTCTAATTCTTCCTTTGTGAGCAGTTGTTAATTGGAGATTCCCTCTTGTGGGGATGGGAGCTTGTGTCTGCTCCCCCACTGGGACGCCACCTGGTTTGGACCTGTGCAGGTCCTGAGCATGCTGCCACAGTCCCTGTGAGTCCCCGTGCGTCAGTCCCGATGCTTCCTTGGTGTCCTCCATCTGCTGTGGATCTCACATCTTTCTACCACCTCTTCCACTGAGCCCCGAGGGAAGACATTCCATTCCGGGCTGGTTGTGGATCTCTGTATTGGTGCCCATCTAACACAGAGACCTTTTGGACATAAGTCAACTACTAACACCTTCTCTGTCTCAGATGAAGGCTGGGTTCCATTTGATGGAGTTGTGAAGGGGCCCCCAAATAGCTTGACCACACAGCAGCCATGACAGGCTTAGGGGCCCAGACACAGCTTCTGTGACAGGCTTACTGACAGGCAACACCCATATCCAGGAAAAGCCTTAAGCTGATAACACCCAGGGATCTACCTAGGGATGAGGAAGTACCTGACATCCCAAACATTCCAACCACCAGATAAGGTGGCCAGATGTCCTTGAGTCTAGCATGCATCTATTTTTTGTTTTACGGATACCCTTAGACAATTGTCAGCCAATCAGGGTCCTGGACCCTGGAAATCCCCTCACCCCAACCTCTGCTATGATAAAAATCCCACCCTGCCTGGTCTCAGGGCTCTCTGCTCTCACAGCTGCATTGGACAGACAGAGGGACCGAGCCCTGGAGCTTGAATAAAGGCTCTTTGCTTTTACATATGGATTTGGTCTCCGTGGTGGTCTTTTGGGGGTCCCCAAGATCTGAGCATAACAGAGTGAGCCCTCTTCAATCCCATCAGGCAGTGGTTGCTTGCTCCCACAATGTTTGTGCCACTTCCCCAAAACATTAAATAGAAATGTGTTCTCTAGGCTCATGCTATATCCTCAGTCACTGAGACCAGTAATTTTTTTTTTTAATTTTTAAAAACAAACCCCAGACTCGTAATTGCGGCTGTAGAAGCTGGTTTCAGTTTTTCTATCAAATCTAGCATCTTCAAAATCCAAACCGAAGTGCAAATGTACCCCAAGAAACACCCTGTTGGTGCTCAGAGTACTTCATGTTGCTTGTGGTATTAGTCATGGTCTCAGCAGGAAATGGTTTTCACTCTCTTCCAGGAAGATGAAAATGTGCTAAGCCATTTGCCACCTCAGACAAACCAGGAAACCGGGACAGGGGTGGGATGTCCCAGGGCTAGTAAGTAGGGTCTGTTAACACCTTCAGGGCTGGGGCTGGAGGCTGACTGCGTACCTGATGCCTTGCAGGAGCAGACACCACAGGACAGGGGCCGCTCCACTTCCTGAAGAGGGCAGAGGAATGAGAACAGATCCTCACTCTGCTCCTTCCTTCTAACCACTTCTCAGGCCTCGGAAGGACAGAGAGTGGGCCACAGACGTAGAGACTAAAGCCTGAGGAGCCGGCAGACACACCCCGCACCCCTGTTTTAAGAGCACAAGAATGACGTCCAGCAAGCTTGGATGAGTTGCTAGGACCACGCGGTGAAGGGCAGCGTAGGAGTCCAAGCGCTGCTCTCCCGGTTCCTCCCCCTCCTCACCTGCTTCCCTCCTCTAGACAAGGAGATGCTTGTGTCATCTTGCTTTAGATCTGGAGTTGAAGGGTCAGGTTGAGCCTCATCCAGGAATTTCTGGTGTCAGGGTCAGCTGAGGAGCCAGGATGAGTCTGCAGGTCTAGAGAGAGAGTGCAGCTGTTCAGGACAATAGCAGAGCCAAGAGCTCTTTGGCTTTGAGCCACACTCTCAGGTCAAATACTTTCTCAGCAAAGACAGAAAGTGAGAGTGTCTGGGAGACCAGGAGCAGGGGTACTAACTCTGGCCCATGAATATCCAGGAGGAGTCCTGTCTGGGAAACCACACAGATGCAGAGAGCTGCCTTGGACCTCTGGTGACCTGTACACTGTATTCATCCTGCTTCCAAACATGCTCCTTTGTCCTGACTCTCCTGGGATGTTTTGCTTAAGAGGGTCCACCCTCCCCCCCCCCCCCCCCGGGTGTTTTGTCTGTAGGTGTGCACCATGTGCTTGCAGGGCCCTCAGAGGTCAGAAGAGGGCACCAGATGCCCTAGCACCAGAGTTACAGATGTTTGTGAGCCACCGTGTGGATGCTGGGGAATAAAACCCAGGTCCTCTGCTGAGCCATCTCCCAAGTCCCAAGAAGCTTTTTAGGAGAACACACCCATCAATCAGGGTGTGGATGACGCCCAGGCGCATACTCTCCTATGGCTTGGGTGATCAGTCCCTAGGATGCCTGCAACCTAGAGCTCAGTTTGAGGCGGGTTATAAGCGGTTGGGTCAGTCTCATTTTCTGTGTTCAGATAGAAATTACAGGCAAATGCGCTTTGTTGTGAGGCGAAAGGCATTTGTTTAACTACGAGTTGAGGCCTAACGGTTTTCTCACAGACCACATGAGCCAGAGTCTTTGAAAAGCCTAAGCACCTTGGGCAACCCTTTACCACAGCCCATGAGGACCCGCAGCAGCCGGCTCTCCTGCATTTCCCCACTCTGCCCTCGGCACACCTCGCCAGCGGTGACAAAGCCTGGCACAATCGCCCTCCCCGGGTGCTGACGGCCTCTCTGGCGTTACTGATGCCCCGTCTTAACAAAAGCTGTTTACTCAGGGTTATGGCTGATGGGCTTTGTAGAGGTGAACTCCGCGTTTTCCTTTATGGGCTGTCAGAACACTTGGTGTCCTTGGTATCCCAGGCAACCAGGGGCCACTGTGCTCTCCTCTTTGTTTCCTGTCTGCTACAGCAGTAGCTCAGTTTCCTTCTCTGTAGTTTTTCAGGTAAAACAGCATCCGTTTGACTGCCATCTGTCACTGGGTTGCCAGCAGGGTCAATATCAGTGGCCTGTTGTTACTCTGGGGCTCACTGACGGAACTGTGTGCCACCAGGGACCTTGCTTCAAATGATTTTAACCCAGATTACCTGGATGAGAATAGTACTTCAGCAAACCATTTCAATTTCAATGTACTTGACTGCTAGTCTATTTTCCGTAGGGAGCAATGGGCACATGTGTCTCCCAGCTGCAATTCAGAGAACATTAAAAAAAAAACATGTCTGTTACCTGTGGAGTATCCCACAGATTAATTTCTCAGAACAGTGACATTCCCGTGCTTCAGATCCACAGTAAATTCATACAGTGGAGCCAGAAGTGAGCTCAGGAGGAAAAAGGTTTGCTGTATGTATGTGCCTGGAGTCCAACCCCCAAAACCTGAAGCGGGAGGAGAGAACTGGCCCCCGAAAGTTGTCCTCCAACCTCAGCGCACATGGCATGGCACATATGCGGACTCTTTCTCTCAAAAATGAAACAAAACCAAAAGCAAAGAAAATCCAACCTACAGAAAGGAAAATCAGAACAAAAAGGCAAAAGACCAGTAAGACCAAAAAAAAAGAAAAAAAAAAAGAAAGAAAGAAAGAACAGCACTTAGTGTATTCTGTGTTGGCCAACTACTCCACTTTATTTTTTACTTGGCGCCACCAGCCTGTCTTCCCTCTTCTTTCCTACAGCTTCCTTAAGATTGTCCCTGACATCATGCTCTCTCACATCCCCTGACACTCAGTCATGGCCTTGCCCTCTCCAGACAGCACACACCGTTTAATGTCGCGAGCACACCTCTGGCAGCCTCCCGCTTTCCGAGGCGTTAGGGTTGGTACAGACACACCGAGCCCAGTGATGTTACTTACAGTGGACTTCCCTGGACCAGCAGCAGCTGCAGCATCCGGGGGGGCTTCGAAACACATTCTCACAATCCGCTCCTTAGCCACCAAATCTTGGGAGTGGGCCCGCACCCTGTGTGATTTTTTAACAAGTTCTTCATGCAATTCCTATGCATGAAGAATTAGCTTTAAAATAAGATGCTTTTTCTTGCTTCCTTCCTTAGCCTTCTGTCTTGCTGACATTGCCAACACATTTTGCTCTGCCCTGCTCTCCCACCATGCAGAACCCAGGGCCGATCTGGCCAAGTTTCCCTTGGCTCTGGAATCTGCAAAAGCCTCGAAGTCCACACTGCTGTTGATAGTATAATCCTTGCCTCCTCCAGCACTGCGAACGTCAGGAGCTCCTGCATCCCATGGTTAAACCCCAGATGTAATGACAGACCGCCATACATACTCTAACATCACCAGCACAGGGCTCTGCCAATGTGTGCCCAGGAGGGAAGGTCGGTAAGTCACAACAAGCTGAGTTTTCATCATGGTTTTGTAATAAAGGAAAGCCGGGTTAAAACCTAGGCTGTCTCAAATGTCTTTCTTTCCTGAGTCAGCTTTTTCTTTTTCTTTCTGGAATCAGCTCTTGCATGGATTGGGTTATTAGCTTGATTAAATGTTAGAGATTTCTTAGGGGAGGGCAAAAGGAAGGCAAGGTGCTACTTTCTGAGGTGAACTCATTCCATGCCCCTCCCCCCCCCAGTTCCAGTTTGTTACCAAGAGCAATCCACACACTTTTGTAGGAGAGCCGGCACCCTGGTGACATGCAAGGTAACTGTAGGAGGGCAAACCTACAGGTTAGCTTGAGACAAAGTACACCTCTCTGGGATAATGTGCCTCTTTCACGATGACGCCAAAGGGACCAGCTGGGTAGAAGCTAAGCGCTTGCCCCAACCCTGGACTGTGGATGATGCCTCTGCTTGAGCCAAGTCTAGGGAGTCAGGGGGATTGGAGGCTGGTGTTGACAGGAGCAGAACCGCTGGCAGATGGGGCCTGATGGGAAGTCCTTAGGTCCCTGGGGGATTGTTCTAGGAATGTGGCTCTCATGGGGTTCCTTGTTAATTCTGGTGAGAGGGTTATTGTGAAAGCTAGAATTTGTCTTCACCATATTCTCTATCCTGATTCTAGATAAAATTCCTGGACTTCCAACCCCCAAAACCATGAGCTGAATCCTCTCTCCCCTGAGCCTCCTTTTTTAAGCATTCTGGGATTGAACCTACGGCCCTGTACATGGTAGGCATGTACTCTACCACTAAGCTACACCCTCAGCCCTTAAATATTTGATTTGTGAGACAAAATAAAATATTAATTTTTATTTTTTTACTAGACTGTCCTCAAATTCTCTATAAGCCCAGACAGGCTTGAACTTGTGATCCTCCTGCCTCAGTCTCCTGAGTAGTTTGGATTGCAGGCTTGTATCACCAAACATGGTTACCTCTCTTTCCCTAGTGACCATCTGTCTGTTTCTTTTTTGAGGCAGGGTCTCACTATGTAGTCACAGCTGGCCTGAAACTTACTATGTAGGTATGACTGGCCTAGAACTCTTAAAGATCTGCTGCCTCTGTCTCCTAGTGCTGGGATTAAAGGCATGTGCTACCCTAGTCATTTTTTGGGAGAATGATATGTTGTGACTAAAAGCTAATCACACATGTAGACTATGGTGTTCAGCTGGGAGCCGTGGAGAACTAGGTTCATCGTTTTCTTTTCTTTTTGAGATGGCTGAGATGTCTCAGTGGGTAGGGTGCTTGTCCCATGAGCCTGATAACCTGAGTCTGAGCTCTTTAGAATTCACATGAAGGTTGACAGAGAACTGACTCCAAAGAGCTGTCCTCTGACCTTTACATGTACTATGGTGTGCTGTGTCCTGTCCTATTCAACACACAGATACACTCCATATTGATAAATAAAAATAATTAGAAACCATGGGATTTTACATTCTTAATACATATGACGTTTTTCCATTAAAAAAAGTTCCTTTTGTATTAGGACACTCCACTGATTACTTCAGCCTTAGTTTCATAGTTTTCTCTGCTTAAGACTAAAGTTCAGGGTCTGGAGAGATGGCTCAGAGGTTAAGAGTACTGACTGTTCTTCCAGAGGTCCTGAGTTCAATTCCCAGCAACCACATGGTGGCTTGCAACTACCTATAATGAGATTTGGTGCCCTCTTCTGGCCTGCAGGGATGCATACAGACAGAACACTGTATACATAATAAGTAAATAAATCTTAAAAAAAAAAAAAAGACTAAAGTTCCGTAGTTTCTGATTGCAATGGTGTGTTTAGATTTCCTTTCTTCTTCTTCTTCTTAATAATAATAATAATAAATTATACAATATAATTATATTATAATCATAATCATTATTATTGTAATTATCAATTGTCAATAATAATAATTATTAGTATTGTTATTTTGCTTGTCAAAATATTCATTACTGAAAGGATTGTTAAAATCTCCTACCATGCTGGCCGATTTTCCCTCTGAGTAGCACTGTTACTTTTATTTTATATGTCTTACTTATTTTTTGTTTTTGTTTTCTAGGACTGGCTTATGGAGCCCAGTTTATCCTCTACCTCACTATGGTGGCCGTGGCTGATCTTGAACTTCTGACTCACCTTTCTCTGCCTGCCTAAGTCCTGGGATTATATGTGTGGGCCACGACGCCAGGCTTATTTTATATATTTTGTTTAAATTTATTTATTTATTTATGTGTGCCATATGTGTGGAGGTCAGAGGAGAATTAGCAGGAGGAGGACCCTTCTACCACATGGGTCCCAGGGACTAAATTCAGGTCATCAGGCTTGACAGCGAATGCCTTTACCCACCACACCATCTACTTTATAGGCCCACATTTTAGAAATTTTAATGAATTTTATTAAGGATGTATGTGCAATTTTAGGGTTGCTGATTACTGCTAACCTGTTTATCTTTAATGACTCAGTTGATCGAAGTTCATTTCACTTTACATTAATTCACTCATTAGATTGTATAAGTTTGACGACACTTAGCACCAGATCTTGAAATCTGAACTTTTTCAGCCTTCATAGAATGCTGCAGAAAACCTTATTTTATTTCACAAAATTCCCACGACACCTTGTTCTGTGTGGAAATGAAAAACATGGCACAGAGCTGTCTTCAGGCTGTGTGTGTGGTGTGTACGAACGGTAAATGGATCTGACTCGGTCCCACCTCCAAGGTGTTTCATTGTGTTGCTGCAAACATCTCACCTCCCCACCCCTACTCCCCACCCTGCCTCCCAAACTGAAACACCTGTTGGTATTTCGGATAAGGGATTCTCAACCTGTGTATTAATATTAATAAACTTGTATTGGTTTTCTTATTATTAGCTCAACAAATTAACACCAATATAGTAGCTTGGGGCAGCTTGCCGTGACAGGCCAAAACAACACAGAGGTCCCTCCATCTTGTGTTCTTGCTGAGGCCATTTCATGTTTAACTAGAATTTGATCTCCTTGATGGAGAATTCCATGGAAAACTACCTAACTCTACTCTAGAAACCTGAGTTCCAGATGCCCCAGCTAGCATATCTTAGCTTCTGTTAAACTGTCTGCTTGATCAGCCCCTCAGTCCCCTGCAGCTGCCAGATACCAGGATGTGGTTTTTGTCTTTAAAAATCCCTTACCCCGGGGCTGGAGAGATGGCTCAGAGGTTAAGAGCACTGACTGCTCTTCCAGAGGTCCTGAGTTCAATTCCCAGCAACCACATGGTGGCTCACAACCATCTGTAATGAGATCTGGTGCCCTCTTCTGACCTGCAGACATACATGCAGGCAGAACACGGTACACATGATAAATAAATCTCAAAAAAAAAAAAAAACCCTTACCCTAAACACTCAGGGTTACACTAGGGTTCCAAATACCTGAGTGTAGTCCCAGCCAGCTGGAATAAAGACTTTCAATTAGCTATAAACTGTGTCTGAGTGGTCATCTCTGGTGGGCTCCTTATAACATTTTAGAGGCCCCAGAGAGATTCCCCAGAGACCGGACTCCAACACTTAGGGAATTATTGGGGGGCCACACCCTTTTGGCCTGGCCTGGCCATCCAGAGAAATCAAAACCCCTGCTGTCCTCTCTGCCCCAGAAAGGGAGGAGGCAGTAGTTCCCTGATCTGAGTTCTCTCTCCCTGCTTCCTCCCCGGCCTACTCTAAACAGCTGGTGGTGCTCAGGGAGAGAAGGGGGAAGTAGTTCCCCAAGTCACAGCATGGCAGGGGAAGTGGAGGTTCACCCCCCTTCATGGTTTATGTCTTCTTCTCTACCAGTGACCTGTATAATTGGAAGACCCCAAACCCTTCATTTTTGGAGAAACTTCAGGCCCTATCAGCCTGTTGGAAACTGTTCTAAGGTAAGAGGGCATTGGACACTTTTTTGTTTGTTTTGGTTTGTTGTTTGTTTTTTGATGTGGGAGTCAGGATTTGCAGGATAGCTGAAATATGTCATGGGAAAGTGTCTGCTGCCCTTCTTCTAGGTAGCTTAGGTATATGACTGGAGAGATGCACAGCTGAGCCTTCTTGGTTGAGATTCTACTCCAGGACTTAGAGGTTTTCTAAAAGGCATGATGACCTTGCAGAACCCCTGCACGATTGTCCTGAGGTGACTGACCTGAGCCAGTCTATAAAGCTTTATCTGACTAATGTCCCATTAGCAATACTAAATGAGGTACTGTTCATAGATGGGATCAGTATTGTCTCAAATGGGACCAGGGATGCAGGGGGCAGTGGTGATGATCCAAGATGAGACTATCTGGGCATAATCTTTAAACAACAGAACCTCAGCTCAGTGAGCTGGACTTTTGACATTGACTTATGCACTCTCCTGGAGGAAAGACAGGACTATCACCAAATACACTGGCAGCCAATATGCTTTCATCACAGCCTATGTCTATACAGGGAAAGAGGATTGCTAACCTCAGCAGGAAAAGATCAACAACAGAGAAGAAATCTTAGCCCTATTGGAAGCTATCTGGCTACCCAAGAGGGTGGCCATTGTCCATTGTAAAGGACACCAAAAAAGGGATTCCCCAGAAGCCAGAGGCAACAGAGGGATGACTTGGTCACTTGGGTGGCGGCCCTAGAACCATTGGAGCCTCTCTTAGTCTTGGTAGTCTTGCCAGATCCCAGCTTACGAGACCGCCTAGAACACATGGTGGGTCTAGAACACGCCGTGGGTCTAGAACACGCCGTGGGTCTAGAACACGCCGTGGGTGAGCCTGACTGGGTGAAACAAGAACTGGCCACACAGGATGGACAGGATGGGTTGGATGGTCTCTACCTTTGGTGTCTCTTGAAACATACATACAGGGCTGAAATTTTGAATTTTTTTTTTTTTTAAAGAAAGGGTTTCTCTGTGTAGCTTTGCGCCTTTCCTGGATCTTGCTCTGTAGACCAGGCTGGCCTCGAACTCACAAAGATCCACCTGCCTCTGCCTCCTGAGTGCTGGGATTAAAGGCGTGCGCCACCACCGCCCAGCTGAAAATTTGAATTTTAAAGAGAAAACATCACAAATTTTGGCAAGCCCTCAATTAAGAATGTCCCATACTAACCGAAGACATAGTTGTGGGCTACATACAGCTTCTAGATCAATCTCCACTTTGAGTAAGGCTCTAGAACCATCTAAGTGCTTATATCCTCCTCATTCTGAGGCAGCTCCCACACTCCAAACTCTACCACTAAGCCACACCCCCAGCTCTGTTTAAGTCTATTTTTAAGTTTGTCATATACTCGACACCTATTTTTGGCCAGAATATAGGAATTCTTCATCTGCCAGAGCCCTTAGAAATTACACAAGCCCTTCCCTGTGTAGGTTCTGTAGACAGGAGCAAATCTTGGTTCAGAAGATTTGCTGAAGGTCTCAGCTGGCTGGGAATAGCCTGCATGGTTTGTTATGATAAATTTTACGTCAGAATTGGCTAGCTGTCCCCTAGTTCATCATGTGGCAGTGGGAATGAATCTTTTTCAAGATTTTATTTCATTGTTCAAAAAATTTTCATTTATTTTAATTAATCCGTGTGTGTGTGGCGGGGGGGGGGCATATGGGTTGTGCATGCAAATGCAGTGTTCGTGGAGGCCCAAAGGCATTGGAGTTATAGGAGGTTGCCAGACATGTAACATGGGTGCTGGACCTGAAGTTGGGTTCTTTACAAGAGTAGCATATGCTTTGCTGAGCTGTCTTTCCAGGACTTTATTTTTACTCATGTGTATGTGTGAATGTCTGCATGAGTGTATGCCGTGTGTGTGTGTGTGTGTGTGTGTGTGTGTGTGTGTGTGTGTGTGTTCTGAGAAGGACAGAAGAGGGAGTCAGAGCCCTTGGAACTCAGTTTCCAGGTGGCTGTGAGCAGTGTGACATGGGTGTAGGAACAGAACTCGGGCTTCCTGGGAGATCAGCAACAATGCTTAACCACCATGCCTTCTCTCCAGCCCTTCAATATGATGATGCATTTTTATATTTGTTTTTCAAGACAGGGTTTCTCTGTGTAGCCCTGGCTGTCCTAGAACAAGCTCTATAGACCAGGCTGGCCTTGAACTCACAGAGATCCGCCTGCCTCTGCCTCTGAGTGCTGTGATTAAAATCGTGCGCCACCACCGCCCGGCTGATAAATACATTTTTAAAGCAGGACTCCTGCCCCCAGACCTAACAGGTCATAGTACAGGGGAAGACTTGGGCTTTGCAGGTCTCTTATTATCTGTCGCTGAGGCTTTAAGGCTTAGCTTGGGCTCAGGACAGAGACCTGGTTCAACTTACTGTACAGGCTTTGTATCTTCTGGATGTTATTAATTTGTTAGTTCCCAAATTTGAATCGCAATCATCATCTCATGTCTTGAAAAATTAAAACTGAGCCAACATCGTATGTGCCTGTCTAGGAGAAGGGCCAGTACCTCCTGCTTGGGGACACCCCTGCTGGCGGTGTTAGGACCCAGAGGTCATGGAGTCCTGTGGTAGGTAGGGGACGGGCAGGTGGAGGGCCGGCAAAGCCAAAGTTCAGTCTCAGTACCATGGCTCCTTCTGGTTGTACCATGTGGTTGTCAGAGATAACTCTAGCCTCTTCTGAGACTCAACAAGGATGGCAGTTGGTGGGGTCAGTGACACCTGGGATAGACTTCAGGAACCACTGTCTTCTTTGAGCTGAAGACTCTTTACACCACAAGGTTCTCCTGATTAATGAGGTCCTCTAGCCCCTCCCATCTGACGGAGGGAGGCTGGCTTCATACTGACTGTCCTCTGTGGAGCCACTGGGGTCCCTAAGGGAGGATGGGGTCTCTTGTTTTCTCCAGACTCCTAGGTTTACAAGTTTTGCAGATCAACACTTTCAGCTTTTGGGGGCTTAGTTAGGGTTTCTTTCTATTGCTATGATCAAACACTATGATCAAAAAGCAAGTTGGGGAGGAAAGGGTTTATTTGGTTTACACTTACATATTACTGTTCATCAAGGAAGTTAAGAAAAGAATTCAAACAGGGCAGGAACCTGGAGGCAGGAGCTGAGACAGAGACCATGGAGGGGTGCGGCTTACTGGCTTGCTCCTCATGGCTTGCTCAGCCTGTTTTCTTTCTTTTTTTTCCCTTTTATTTTATTTTACAATACCATTCAGTTCTACATATCAGCCACAGGTTCCCCTGTTCTCCCCCTCCTCTCCCTCCCCTCCCCCCCAGCTCACCCCCCATTCCCACCTCCTCCAGGGCAAAGCCTCCCCTGAGGACTGAGATCAACCTAGTAGACTCAGTCCAGGCAGGTCCAGTCCCCTCCTCCCAGGCCAAGCCAAGCGACCCTGCATAAGCCCCAGGTTTCAAACAGCCAACTCATGCAATGAGCACAGGACCTGGTCCCACTGCCTAGATGCCTCCCAAACAGATCAAGCCAATCAACTATCTCACCCATTCAGAGGACCTGATCCAGCTGGGGGCCTCAGCCTGTTTTCTTATAGGACCCAGGACCACCAGCCCAGGGATGGCACCACTCACCATGGGCTGGGCCCTCCCACATCAATTACTAATTAAGGAAATGCCTTACATGATGGAGGCATTTTCTTAATTGAGGGTCCCTCCTCTCAGATGACATTAGCTTGTGTCAAGTTGACATAAACTACCCAGCACAGTGGCCATCCAGGAGCCAAGAGGCCCCTGGCAAACTGTCAAATCGTCTCCTCTCCTCCCCGAGAACGGCATGCTCAGGCTCTGAACAGAGAGGGTCTGAGTTCTGCCCCTTTGCCAGCCACAGGGAAAATTCCTTCTCCTATGGACTGGAGTCCCTACAGAGAGATCTACCCCTTTTCTTATTTTGATGTTTCACTTCTGGAATGGACAGAGTGACTCCACGCAGGTAAAATTTTCTCAGAGACATCTTGGTACACCACATAGCGCACTGCATTATGGGCCTTCCTCATCTCCGGTGTGGAAAGGATACTAGGAGGCAGATTGCATGGTTGTGAGCTGGCGGCTTCAAACCTTTCGGTGGGAACTGCCAGATACTCGGATCTTTCAGGAACTCACCCAAGCGTCTGGGGATGGCTCTGTTTTTATTTGCATATGGAATTCTGGGGGCTGACTCACTCTCTGAGCAGCCCAGCTCTCCAGCGCTTGGCTG